ATCAGGGAGCTTTCTTTCTGAGGTAATTAACAGGGGTTTAAGTATTACATAAAATAAGAAAATACCCTGTGAACTCTGTTATTCCATGGGAACCTTAAAATAACTCCCCCATGCATAATACTCATCAGCAGTGACAGCTCTTCTCTATCATAAATGCAGGTTTTGAAGTAAATCGCCATCTCAGACTGCTCCATACTCAGCTTTCCCTATGGATGGGCTTCATTAATGAAGCCCAGAGGGAAAGCTGAGTAATAAAAAAAAAAGAGCCTACTGTCCTTACCCTAGGATAGGAAGGAATCCCAGGTACTTTCTCCAGATTCAGAGGCTGAGAGAAGAAGGTCTGCTAGCTTAAAAAAACATTTCCTTCCTCATGTCCTCTCAGCAGATTTCTATAAAGATTTACCTGAAAATGTTCTAGTCCATCTGAGAAAAGTTTTAGATTTATAAAGCAGTGCAAGCACAGAAGCGGGCAGTTTATCTGATCAGGTACTAGTAGTTTCTAGGACATAAGAGGCAAGACGACTATAAAATTTCAAGCTACTTTCACCACCCCAAATCTCCTAGAGCTTCAGAAGATGGACATAGGAAGAGTTCACCTTTCCCAGGCCTTGGTGGGATGATTTTTAAAGTCCTACCACCATAGACTGGTGACTTTTAAAAAGTCCCCATAGAAAAACAGAAAGCACATCTCCCAAGGAACATCTTACCCACGCATTAAGGGCTCTGACTAGTAGTCAAACTGTACTGATCCATGCTCGGGGACTGCTATCAGAACTGTGTTTATGAAGTGGCTCACCAATGGGGGGTGATCCGTAAGTAATGCCACTTGAGGCAAGGAATAGAACTTACAGATTGGGCAGAGATTACTGACAGCTTTCATGTATTTATATTAAACTTTAGCCAAAGACTATGGAACTCTGAACAAGCTATACCTTTGCCTTCATCTGCATGTACAGGAATGAGCAATCATACCCTCATACTCCTTGTACAAGATACTCCCATTTGCCTCAAGCAAAAGGACACTAATGGGGACATACTTATAAGGGACACACGAGGGTGGAGGGACAGTCTGGTCCACCAGCTCATTTACAAGGTTCTGGATGATAGCATGGTTGGGGGAATTGAGACCATAGGGAAGTACCCGAGGGCAGACTCCCTTACAGTAGTTCGGGGTATAGTGATGGGGAGCAATGATCCAGTGATCCCAGCCCAGCTGGCGAAAGCTGACTTGGAAACGGTGGAGGGAACACTGGTTATTTTCAGGCCCATTACGTTCCCGGGAGGAGCCAGGAAGCTGAGACGTAATACTGTTTGCTCGTCGGGTTCTTTGCAAGAGGAGAGGAAATTCCTTTTCTATAAATTCATCTGGGACCCTGGAAAGAGATTGAGCCTTCTGAACACTTTTATGAGTGTCATTGAAATAGAGTAACAAGAAGGCAAAGTCCAAGGATGAAGTATCACGCCACTGGTGCTCAAGACCTTTACTACCATTTTGCTGCTGACACAGGAAAGAGTCGTAGGACACTGGGCCCCGTGTGATTCCAGAAACTTTGCCCTGTGTGATTCCAGAACCTTTGCCGAACATCTTGTGTGATATCCTTCTCTCTCCAAGCTTTAGACATCAGGGAAGACCTTGAGGAACCTCTTCCTGAAGGAGGAAAGTGGTTGGTTGGGCTTTTCTCGACCCAGGGCTCCATATGGCAGGAGAAGTGGAAGCCAGTTAGGTGGAGTTGTTGGCGGTAAACCACAGTGGCTCTGACTAGTTGGTATGCTACCTGGTTTGGTCTCAGAGTAAAGTCCAGGGTCTGTAAATGCCAGGGGCCTGCACAGGTAAGAGGAAACAAGAACAGAGGATTAGCTTCTTACCTCTTAGCCTGAATCTTCCTCACAAACCTGCTCAATATAGACTGAGCCCCAAAATTAACTCAAAATAATAACTCAAAATTAACTCAAAATAATAACTATCGTTTATTGAGCAGTTACTAATGCACTAGATGCTTTACATGCATTAGCTCTTTAATCTTCCATAGCCTTATGAGATAGTCATTATCCCCATGGTACAGACAAGGAAACTAAGGCTCAAGGAAGCCACTTTAAAAAAAAATAACACAGCCATTGTTATGGTAGAGTTTAGAAAACAGACTTTGTTCAAATCTTAAGTGAAACTGTCTCTTTTAG